TATAGGTTCACTATGAATCAGAATCAGCTTGATGGCACTGGGTCTGAGTAGTAATACTAAGGTAAGTATATCACTGAGATAACTTGTGTGCTGCCATCTAGTAATCAAAAAGACATGGTTAAACACATTTTATTTGAAATAAAACAATATATATATGTACTAAAACCCCAGTAACAACAGTTTTTGGATTACCCTTGTATATAAAGACTTGGATGCACATTCTGTAGCTATAAAATAATTTGCCTGAAATAAGGAACTCATTTGATGGATTTAGCAGTAGAATAAGGAGCCTTGGTGATGCAGTGGTTAAGCACTTGGCTGCTAACTGAAATGGTGGTGGTTTGAACCCATCAGCAACTCTGCAGGAGAAAGATGGGGCAGTCTGCTGTAGTAAAGATTTCCAGCCTTGGAAACCCAGCAGGGCAATCCCACTCAGTCCTGTTGGGTCACTGTGTTGTTAAATGCCGTCGAGTCAGTTCTAACTGATAGTGACCTTGTACAGGGTTTCCAAGGAGCATCTGGTAGGTTTGAAGTGCCAACCTTGAGTTTAGCAGCCCTGTGCTTATCCTGCAGCACCACTCCAGGACTCCTACCTAATAAAGCATATGAGTCAGAATCAATTCGAGGGTCACAGCAATGTAAAGTCAGGTTAATAGAATAGAAAAATGAAAAGAAATAGAAAAAAATATATGAGACTTGGGACAGAGACAGTGCTCTAACATATGTGTAATTGTAGTCACAGAAGAAGAGGAAAGACAGGATGAATGAGAACTAATATTTGAAGAGGTTTTTTGTTGTTGTGTGTCATCAAGTCATTTCTGACCCATAGTGACCCTGTATAGGGTTTCCAAGGAGCAGCTGGTGAGCTTGCACCGCCGATCTTGCGGTTCAAACCAACTTTGCAGTCCAGCATATGAACCCACAGTGCCACACCAGGGCTCCATTTGAAAAGATAATGGCCGAAGTTTCTCAAAGCTGTGAAAGGTATCTACCCAGTTAGTTAAGATACATAGCAAATCCCCAGCAGAATAAACAAATATAACCATACCAAGGCAAGCCGTAATAAAATGATAGAAAAAAGCAAAGGTTAAGATGTCATAGATAGCCAGAGAGAAAATGTACGTTCCCTTGTAAGGGAAAAACTGTAAGAAAAAATGCCTCGCTGTTCAACTATGGAAGCCTAAAGGAAATGGAATGACATTTGTTTAAATGCGAAAAGAAAGAACTCTTAACTTAGGAGATAAATTGCAGGGAATTCTCTTTCAGAAATGAAGCCAAACTTTTTTATATTAAAACAATGTCATATCTATTTTATTTTGTTTTGTTTTTTTAAGTTTTTGTAATTTGAGTGAAAGTTTACAGGGCAGATCATCAGTTTTACATTCAACAAATCATATACTGTGTTTCATTACAATGGCTATAATCCCCTCCATGTACCATCAGTTAACGTTATTTCTCTATATTCATTTTAGCTCTCTCTTTTTTTTCTTAAACTCTCAGGCATATATAATAATTTACAACGCCAAAGGGTACATTCTGCAAGCCTGTCTCCTGGCCGCCAGCTCTTAGTCTCTCTCTTTCCATGAATCTAGAGTCCTCAACTGCTCTCTATCTCCGTGTCCCCATCTCTGACTCCATCTCTGGTGTTGCTGCTTCTCTGCATAAGGTCCCGCATTCCACTTGTGCTGTTCTCCCTTGATTGTCCTAGGGTCCTTTGTTTCTGGACTGTGAGATTAACTACTCACAGTTTTTGTTACAAAACTTCTACCTTTACAATTGTGACAATCACAATTAGTCATAATAACAATTACTCACTATTGAATTATAGGAATCTTATTCCCATTTCTTTTTTCACCCATCTAGACAAGGTGAAAACTATTCAGTGGGGAATCTAACCCCCCCACACACACCTTTTTTTAAAAAATTGTTTTATTGTGAATTATGTGATAGTTTCCATGGGAGAACATTAGCGTTATATTCATCCTAGCGTATATCGTTTCATTGCCATAGTTACAGTCCCCTCCATGCATCATCAACCAACCAAAGGGTATACCCTGCAAGCCTGCCCCTTGGTCGTCAGCACACAACTCCTCTCTCTCTCTCTGGGTCTAAATTCCCAAGCTACTCTATCTCTCCATGTCATCATCCCTGCCTCCATCTGTGGCATCACTGTTTCTCTGGGTTGGGTCCTGCTCTCTGTTCTTCACCCTTGGTGGTCCCAGGACCTCCGCTTCTAGACTGCAAAGTCAATCACTCCCCTCCTTTTGCTACAAAACATCTACCTCTATGTTTCCAGCCCTCACAATCAGTCCTGATAACGATTATTCACTATTGTATCACAAGAGACCTATCCACATCTTCTTTCATCAGCCACCCAGACAGACTGGATACTACTCAGTGGAGATCCTACGTTCCTCTGCACCCTCTGGATCTAGGCTCCCTCATGAAAGTTTGTAAGCCAGTCACTTCTTGCCTTTTTAGCACCCCCCCCCCCCCCCGTTTTGGGTAGCCAATGTGTAATATCTATTTTGAAATAATTATTTTCCTTTTAGACTATTTCTTTAGGCTAGATTACTAGGAAGAAAAAATAAGCTATAGTGTTATGATTTCCATGTTTGTTTGTGTTTTAAAAAAGGAAGGCAGAATAAAGTGAAGTGAGACTTTAGAATACTTCATTCCCTCCATCACAGCTTAGTGCGTATAAAGGCCCTGCTAACAACTTGGGAGACTGTAGGGAGCCAAGTGGACATTGGTTTCTCTGATGGCTATATGTGTGTCTCTATGATGCCTGTATGTGGGTGGAATGATTCCAAACAGAGAAGCTTACATGACCTGGAAAAAGGTGCCTAATTGGTAACCAGGTAATTGAGATAAAAAATCAAAGGAAGAGGGGATTATAAAAGCATAGCCAGGAATAGAGCCATGAAGTAATAAAGTCTTCACAAAACTAAGTGTGACAATCCTGGACAAGATGTTCGTTTTACGCATCCCCTGACACCACTTATTATAGTGGAATTGATCTCTAGGGATGAGTAGGGTGAACAATATGAATGATTCTCAGTGGGAAGATCAGATGATGCGTTAATTTCTGGTCCAGTGCTCTGAAAATGTTATTATGAGCAAACACAATTGATTTCACTATGTGTGTTTTTTGGGAGAATAGTTTGGCGTTTCAAAACAGGACACAATTATAAATCAATAGGTAAAAGGGAAAACAGGAAATGACTGGGCAAAACACAACTGTGCTACTGATTGCTCTACTCTGAGGAGAGACTTTGTTCAAAGACCTGCAAAGTCTAGGTCTGAAAGCTGTATCACATGAGGCCCCTTACTTCCAATTAGACCACTTCAGCCACCTTGAGAGTATAGAAACACTCAGCAGCAATTTCAAAATAACTCATTTCTGAGAAGAGTCTATTTCCTTAAGGGTTTTACGACGTGCACATTTATCAAGTACCCTTGGGTTTAAGCAGAAAAAGTAAAATTTACTGTTTTTTGCATAAGTCACTGCTATAGTTATGCTCCAATTTAGAGGGGAAAAAATGAACAGATTTTTCAAATGGCATCATCATCATCAACCAAAAAAATCCTTGTCATTGCAGCATCATTGTTCAATAACCACAGGTCTCAACTGCATATAAGTATTGGAGCACCTGGGACCCCTTTTGGGAAATGTAAATTATTTATGTATTTAATTCAGTCATTCAACTCTGACTAGCAGAAATTATGACTAATTATAGTCATATTAACATATTTGCAGTTAAATCTCAACCACACACACACACACACACACACACACATCAATGAAAATCAGAAACTGCTAAACTGATATGTCCCCAGTTTTCCCATTAATACCCATTTGCTTTTTGCTCATTCATTACCAACCAGCTAATTGTAAGCACCAAAAGCATTTAAAAATTAGTGTGGGAGAACTCAAAATTTTTATATAAGCATTTATTGACATATTTTTCTCCTGTGACTTGGAAAAGCTGTCTCTTCGTCAGCTTTGGCGGGACCTTAGACTCCTGGGTATTTGTGTTCCATAGTTATAAGTTTTAAGAGTCCTCACAGACTTTTTAAAGTTGTGTATTTATTTCAAAACAAAGTGTAGGTAGAGGCGATTCATAATTTTGAGCTTATTTTTCCATATTTCCTCTAATGGAAGCATACTTACCACCTTATTGAATAGATTTCATTAAGAAGTCTATCTGTCACAAAGGCACAGTACTTGATGTATTAAAATCGCATTGACAATCTGTTTAGCATTCCTTGGAAACCCATGTTTTGGTGGTACTTTTCTTCTTGCTTGCCTTTATGCTGGAATTAAACTATCTTCACATATAGTTATTTGCAAATGTATAATATTCTGGTCAGAGAGCCTGTAAATGTACCAAACAGAAATTTATGTGAACTCCTCCTCTGCTGGTTGAAAAGGATAGTCCTGTGGTGACTTTTAAATGGCTAGATAATCCAAAATAGATGCGTTTATTATAAAATGGAATGGTTTCTGTTTAGCTTGAGAAGTTAGGGGTCACTGATGTTCACTCGGTATGTTCTTGTTGCTAGTTACTATCCAGTTGATTCCTAATCATGGAGCCCCTATGTGTACAGAGTAGAACTGCCCTGTAGGATTTTCAAGGAGACCTTCCAGAAGCAGGTCTCCAGGCCTGATTCTGAGTTGGTTTGAGCCTCCATCATGTTGGCTAATAGTCAAGTGCTTAACCATTTGCACCATCCAAGAAAGAACTGACTTGATGAATTCCTCAGTCTCTTATTCAAATGTATTACATTACTGGGCATCAGTGATGTGTACAGCAGGTCATCTGCCCTCAGGCAACCATCAGTCAAAGACCTGCCAGGTAGACTCAACACTTACATGGACAGAAAATTAGATGGAAATAAGAGACAAGAACGCATTATGTCACATGGTAGATGGGTCCTAAGTGTGTGTTTCTGGGAGTTCTGAGCTCATGGCACTCTCTGGTTGTTTGATTCTTCAGGATCCACTAGCTCATGGACTATGGGAATTGATGACTCACCTAATGTCACAGATGATGCAGCTGATGAGATCATGGACCGCATTGTCAAGTCAGCCACCCAAGTGCCCAGTCAGCGAGTGGTGCCTCGGGAAAGGAAGCGATCCAGGGCCAACAGGAAATCATGTGAGTGCCTTGGAGGAGTGGTGAGGCAGTCATCCTGCCTTCTCATTCTATGTGCCTGGAAGAGGCCAGGTTCCAACTTAGTGTCTGTGCCTACCTAGAGTTCTCATTTGCACTCTTCAACAAAATCTTTCTTGCTTGAGTCTCACTGTTAGTCATCGTGGAGGCGGGGAGTTGCAGCCCCTGTCTGGGCTTCCTCAATTCACACTCTATCCGTAGGAAAGTCTGGAAGCACCTTAAATGGCACTGGTGTGGGGGGTTTCACCCGTTGTTGAGTATTGAGAAGGGCTTTACCAGAGACTGTATTTCTTATCCTCACTCAGATCAGAATCTGCCCTCTCCTGATTCACAGGCTGTGTTTACGCTGTTGCTTAAAAACATAAAGAGGGTGTGTTTTCTTTTTTAAAGAAAAATAATAACAGGAATAGTAAACGATGCTTATGTTTACTGGGTTGTTTAAACTATTTAATGTTAGTGTAAGTGGACCTTTCTCTTTTTTCCTACCAAACAGAGGATTCAACTAAGTCAAATTGATGGGGTTTAAAATTGTTTTTAGTCTGAGTCTGCTTGCTCCTACTCAGTGAATTGATGGGTGTGGTGTTACCTTTGTAGGAGCAGTACCAACTCACAGGAACCATTCTCCATAGAGAAATCCGGTTCCTGTGAATCTTCTAACATCTGCCTGCATTAGCTGCAGCTCTCAGGTGTTTCAGGAGTGAGCCCAGCCCCTAACTTTGGCCATGCGAGGTCATTCAAGAAAAGGGGCATATGTGTCTCCTCCAGCTCTGCCTCTGGGAATAAGAGATGATGAGTAGGAAAGGCTTGTCACAAGAAGGGAGCCCTATGAAAAAAGTAAAAGGGGAGTGACTCCCAATACGTAAGGAGTTCATCAAGAACTCAAGCATATAGAAACTCCAGCTTGTCCCACCTTCTAAGATCCACACAGGAGGTGATTAAGGTTTGGACTGTGTATGTTGGGTCCCACACACACACCCCCCGAAGTGGTTCTGTTTGACCCATTGACATGGCTTGTTTCCAGGTTGTTGTTGGTTCTTTTATGTGTTCTGCTTTACTTTCGGATTGGAGGCTTTCCCCTAGAAAAGAAAAGAGCACTTGTGAGCTTCTCAGTAACCCCCTGAAAGCTTGTGGAAAAGCAATTCCTGTTCATGAGGTTGGGTGGGGTCCAGAGTCTGTTTCATACAAGCTCCCAGATGAGGTGGAGCTTGCTAATCCTTGGTCTGCATGTTGAGTAACAGGCTTTTAAACTGTGGTTCTCGACTGTGACTGTGTATTACCGTCTTCCCCAGAGCTTTAAAAGGCCCACTACTTCAAAACCTTGGATGGGGGCCCTGAAATCTGGCCCTGCTTCTGCCTCTCAGGTGCTTAGTGACATTAAAAGATGGGCTCTCCTTCCTTTGTGTGTGCCTTTAACACATTTCTTCCATGTTTTAAATGGAAAACAATAAACCAAGGCCTTTTACATCCGCAGGAATATGTTTGTGGGTTCTAATATCAATACTTAAGGGCGTTTACACTCCCCCTGGTCCCCCACACTATTTTGCTACTTTCCTATTGCTGCTGTACATTCACTGCATGTCGCGTGGTGCATCCGTGTAAGAATTTGACTAAGGCTTGCTGCTGATGGTGTGACAATGTGCTGCTGATGGTGTAACAAGCCTCCTGGAGGCTTGTTAGAAAGTGCAGATTCATGAGCCCCTTCCTAGGACAGCTGATTCAGAATCTGTGGAGAAGCCTGGGGCTATGAGACCAGGAGTAGAATTTTGGGATTTTGGGTCCTCAGTGTATGTCTTCATATGTGTTGTTGTTAAATGTCGTTGAGTCGGTTCCAGCTCATAGCAACCCTGTATAGGGTTTCCAAGGAGTAGCTGGTGGGTTTGAACTACAACCTTGCAGTTTGCAGTCCAGTGCTTATCCTGCAGCGCCACACTATGAGTCCACACCAGGACTAGATCCTGACTAACTGTCCAACAAGGTGGGCAAGCTAATCCTTTTTGGATGCTGGAGCTTACTTGATGCTCCTTGAAGCAACTGTCAACTTTCACCTATCTATTGTTGTTAAATGCCAAAGAGTCAGTTCTAACTCATAGAGAACCTGTATAGGGTTTATGAGAAGTGGCTGGTGACTGAACTGCTGACTTTGCAGTTACAAACTGACCTTGTGGTCCAGAGCTTGTCCTATAGCACCACACCAGAACTCCTTGCCTATCTGAAAGGGATAAAATAGTACTAGCATTTCCTTGTGGATTTAATGTGCATTCCCTGCCCGCTAGTAAGGTTGGGCCTCTTGCTGTTTGCATCTCTTCATTTGCCTACATTGCTGTTTTTCATGATAAGAAACCTACTTCACATGTAGTTTTTTCTATGAAATTTGCGAAGAACTTTTTGAAATCTTTAGATAATCTTCAGTACTTACGCTTTATTGCTTTCCTCCTATTAGTTATTTCAATTTAAAAATAAAAATGCAACTCATGGTCACCCCATGTGTGTCAGAGTAGAACTGTACTCCACAGAGTTTTAGTGACTGTATCTTTTGGAGTCCTGGTGTGGCACTGTGGGTTAATGCGCCAGACTGCAAAGCCGTTTGAACTGCAAGGATCAGCTGTTCAAGTTCACCAGCTGCTCCTCAGAAACCCTATACAGGGTCACTATGGGTCAGGACCAACTCGACAGCACTTGACAACAACAACAACAGTCTTTTGGAAGAAGATCTTTCTTGTGAGCTGCCTCTGGCTGCATTAAAATCACCAACCTACTGGTTAGTATCCAAGCATGTAGCCATTTGTGCCGTCTAGAGTCCTGGTGTTGCACTGTAGGATAAGTACTGGACTGCAAATCCACCAGCCACTCCTTGGAAACCTTATACAGGGTTGTTATGTGCCAAAACTAACCCAACAGCACTTAACACCACCAATAACGAGGAACTTCAATAAACCGGCAGTCAAATGACAGAAACTCCACACCAGTTAACTCATGGTCTCTCTGCAATGCGCAACATCAGTGCAAAAATAACCCATGGGAGGGGCTGGGAAAAGTAGGCAGGGAAATCAGGCCAAGGCAGAGGAGTGGCATAAGAGTGCCAGCCCTGCGAAAGAGTTCAAAGGGAGACAGTATGAGACCATGGCCCTGGGTGCACTTCCTGTATAGGTTAGTGACTCTGGTCTAGAGGAGAATTAGGTTCTTAGAGAGGCACACAATGTCATTTTGAAGAATAACTCCCGCACAATGAATGTTCCCTTTCATTCTGGCCAGAGATATTTTGCCTGTTTTTGTGGTTGACATAAACTAATTTCCTGTAGTGTTGTTTCTATTTCAATATTATTCAAAATAGCCGTATATTCTTCTTATTCTGCCAAACACATTTTATCCTATGATGCAATTACTACAGCCAATACAGCACTGCAGGTATGCAAGTGTTTATCTGTAACAGCTTAGTTTATTAGTAATGGCACTATCAACACACATTAAAGACGGTGGAAGGTAGACTTTGATTTTCAGTATAAAGAGATGAAACTCCAGATTCTTTCGAGAGGTCAGAGGGACCAGGAAACATTTGTAAAATCAATGTGAAGTTTAGTAGTGGTTTGGACTAAAACAATGTTGTGTTTGACCTAATTGTTAAATGGCGGTGATGAGGCATGTGGGTAGTAAATAACGCACATACTTGGTTGTAACTCATTTATCTGAAGACAGTAATAGTGCAGCTATTGCAGGAAATCAAACAGAATCCATTACATAACCTAGAAATTTATGACATATGCAAGCCACTTGAGGACCCTCGGGGGTAATGAAATGTCTGCTTGCGTGTTTGATCCCAGTAGCGGGGCCTGTACATGTTAGATGTCCTGCTAAAGCTGAAATACACAGTGTGTTAGAGTACACAGAGGGCATCTTAATCACAAAGCCATGGCTCCCCAGGCTCGGTTCAGATGCTTTTCTAGCTGATGCCAACCAGGATGTCAATGCAGTAAAATATTTCATATGGTCCAGTTGACTTCTAGCCTATTTCCTCTCCCACCCCAGAGCTCATCAGTGCCCTTCAATTGGCCAGTTAACTGGTGAGTCTGACTGACGGAGGGCTTTCTCCGAGCTGTTTTCAAATTTGTCTTTATCTTCTTTCAGCTTTTCTTTCTTTCTTTCTTTTTAATGTTTTATTGTGAATTATGTGATGGTTTACATGGGAGAACATTAGCTTTACATTCATCCTATTGTATATCGTTTCCTTGCCATGGTTACAATCCCCTCCATGCATCATCAACCAACCAAAGGGTATACCCTGCAAGCCTGTCCCCCTGGTCATGAGCACACAGCCCCTCTCCCTCTCTAGGCCTAGAGTTCCTAGCCACCCCATCTCCCCACTCTGCCATCATCTCTGCCTCCATCCCTGGTGTCACTGCTTCTCTGGGTAAGGTCCCGCACTCCGCTCTTCTCTCTTGAAGGTCTCAGGGCCCTCCGCTCCTGGACTGCAAAGTCAACCACTCCCCTCCTTTTGCTACAAAATGTCTGTCTTTACATTTCCAACCCTCACAGTCAGTCCTGATAACAATTATTCACTATTGTATCACAAGAGACCCATCCGTATCTCCTTTCATCAGCCCCGCCTAGACAGATCGAATACTACTCAGTAGAGTCTACCTTCCTCCACTCCCTCTGGATCTAGGCTCCCTCTTGAAAGCTTGTAAGCCAGTCACTTCCTGTCTTTGTACTTTTTTCTTTTTTATTGTGCTTCAGTTTTGTCCTGGTATCAGTTGTTCTCTTAGCTTCCTGGATGTTGGCATCCTCTAGACAATTCAGGAAAAGAATGGCATCTGTGTTTTCCTTTGCAGTTGAATTCACATGGACAGACCCTCATGGCTGGGGACAGGGGGAGGCCCAGGGGCCCCTATTTCTTCCTCTCTTGGACCCATCTTTGAACAGGATCTCTGCTAGGTGCCTGCATGTAGCCAGCAGCCCAGACTGTCAAAGAACAGAGCCAGGGAGTAGGG